GGCTTCAATTCCTTACAGCTGTAAAAACCACTGCATGGAAGGAAAAGAACATTTCCTAGACTGGGAATCCCCAGACACTTTCCAAAACTGAACAAGTGAACAGGGTTTTTGCTCTGGTGAATTATACCCCATCAAGGAGAGTGCAGAGAGAAAAACAGTCCTGAGATGACTGTGGTCTCTAAATGTCTGTGCTTCGCTGCACTTCACATTCATTTTTCTGACTTCTTTGAAATGCAGTCCTGTCCTGGCTTAAGAGTTCTGCTTTGTGGGCAAGTTATACTTACTTGCAACAAGTTATACTTTCTTCCAAGATGTGAGTCGGAGTTAGGGAAAAAGTCCACTGCTGGGATTTCATAGACACAAAGAATAAAAGACTATTTCTTTCCCCAGTTTGGCCCATGAAGCCCTAGCTCATCTTCTGACCGCTCTCTGTACCCCTGGCTGCCCGGGGCTGGTCCTGTTCTGTGGCCTAAGTCCACAGCGGGAAGGTGGGCTTGATACTGGCCACTAAGGATCTCCAGAGAGCCTTTGTGGTGGGAGTTTGCCTATTCCTCTTGGATTGCTCAGTTGGCATCTGGGGCATGAAGAGAGAAGCAACATGAGTCTGGAGGAGAGACATGAAGATGTAAGAAAGGAGAAAGAAAACAAAAACACACTCAACACTTTTTCTCTTCGAGGTAGCCTACATTTGAATCCAAATATAATCTAAGAAAAGCTTTACATTAATTTTTCCAGGTAGTTAGACAATACACTCCTTCACTAGCTCCTGGGAATTTATCTGTAACACAATAATAAGAGATAATGCAAAACCTTATTAAAAAGGATTATCTAATTTGATAAATCAATTAGCAAAGCTAAGACTTGATGTGTGTTATCAATACATTTAGTTAAAACTTTTCTGCAGTTGGTAACTAAATTATTTTGCACCCAAACATATTCAGTTAGTTAATTAAAGCAACATATGCTGATTAAAAAGAGCTTAATTATATGTCAAATTTTTATGCCAAATTAGCCAAAATGGGTCAAATTGATTTGTGAAGCTTAAAAAGTTTCCCTAAACAGAAAAAATAAAATAAAATAAATATTGATTACTATGCAGTAATTTTTCTTTCATTTACAAAGTGGTAGTTTATCAAGTACTTAGACAATGGACAGTTTACTATTAAAATGTTAAATTGAGTAAAAGACCAAAATAAAATAGGAGTTATAAACCATAGACATTTCAGGGCAGGTGCAGTGGCTCACACCTGTAATCCCAGCATTTTGGGAGGCTGAGGAAGGTGGATCACCTGAGGTTAGGAATTTGAGATCTCCTGGCCAACATGGTGAAACCCTATTTCTACTAAAAATGCAAAGATTAGCCATGCATGGTGGTGGACACTTATAATCCCAGCTATGTGGGAGGCTGAGACACGAGAAGGGCTTGAACCAGAGAGGCAGAGGGTACAGTGAGCTGAGATGGTGCCACTGCACTCCAGACTGAGCGACAGAGCAAGACTTCATCTCAAAATAAATAAATTAATTGAATAAAATAAACCATAGACATTTCAAAAGTAAAACCTAATTCAGATAAATTATAATTATTATTTTGACCTTATAAGAAGCACTACCTCATAATTATCAGAGAATTTCCCTGTGGAATTTGTTATAAGATTAAGGAAACCCAAAATGGGTAGCATTTTCTCAGAAAAAAATACTCTTTGTATTTTGCATTTCCTTTCCCTTTGTTACAAGACAGTGGTGCTCAGAAGGTTATTTGGATGTGTTACACTATTTTATTCTTTGTCCTTAAAGGAAAATGCAGATATTTTTTGGATGGAGGGGAAAAGAAATCAAATTCCAATGCAGTTGATGTATGTAACCTATATGACCATCCATGATATCAAGGCAAATCTCTTTAGACCTGTAAGGACTCAAAAAATGTGTTACAGCCACAGATCTGAGTATACTTTTGGGTTCATTTTAGAAATTCCACCAATTGTATCAAATGTACAGGAAAAAATTTACATGTGTGGGAAGTCATGTGATTGCTTTTACCTTTTTCAACATTATTTACAAGTACAATGAACACATGACATTCTCATAAGACAAAAAACAATAGCTTTTTAAACCATTGTAATGCAATCATCACTTACACTACCTGGCAGAAGTATCACAAAAGAGAAACAGTTCATTTTGAGAGTGTTCCACAGATTCATCAGTGGGAATTTATCTAATCAGTCCTCGGTGATGACATCAGGAGAAGATATGGACAACCAGAAAGGTACACGGCCAAGCCAGGGGTGAGGTTCTCCATGGAAAGGAAGGGACATGGGACAGCAGCATGCTCTGTGCCAGGATTGCCCACCTACTGTGTGCTAGTGCTGCAGCCCACTGGCCTCAGTCCTCAGAGAAGCAATCCTGCCAGGTAGTTACTGTGTATCAGTTCTTTTGATAAAGATCTTGAACTCAGCTAGGCACCAGGGCACACTGCTCAACTCAAGCAGGGCACACTGCTAGATTCAAGCAGAGTTGGGCTTGAGTCCACCTTGCTGTCCCCCTCCCCACAGCTCACTCTCAGTCCACTGCTCCATAAAATCTCCTACAAACCTTGAGGTTAGGTCCCTTCTGGCGCTCCCCTGAGAAAAGAATTATCTTTCCATGTTGCACCTTGTTTATTTTCTTCTCCTGCCACATATGTACTTGGATATAAGGGGGAGAAACAGGATCTAGCCAACACTGACCATTTTTCCTTTGTGATGCATGAAGGTGCATCATCCTGTTGGGCTGTGAGGTCACCAGCTGGGGGTGGGGCAGGCAAAATTGCCCAGCTCCCCTTCCTGAGCTCCTTCACCCTTTCCAGGAAGAAGTGGCCTGCTATGGAAGGGCACTCTGCCATGACACCATGACACTAGTCAGGAGAGCACAAGCCTGCTTCCCACCACATCCTGGCCTCTAAATCTCCATGCACAAGGATCCCACAAATATTCTCAGGAGCTGCTCAACTCAGGGCATCAAGCTGTTTACACAAATAAGCGTCCTCCCCCATTGTAGCTGCTGTAGAATAATTAAGGGCAAAAGGGGAGCATCTGCCTGGCCACCTTAGGAATCTAAAGCTCTTTTTTCATAAATGTCCAAGTCGTCATTCATAATGTCTATTGAAGCACTCATCATATTTCTGTTGCAGTCTGGAAATCACGACACTAAACAAATCGCCAAAGGCAAAAGACATAGAATTTCAAAAAAAAGGAACTAACCTCTGCAGGCCTGCTCTCCAATTTTTATTTTCAATACGTTCTTTTGAAATGGGATAAAAATCAAAGACATAGACTGCTGGGCCCCAGGAGAAGCACAGCCTTTCCATTCTATTTTAAGCAGAGAAGGGTCCAATCCAAATTTGCAAACAGGATAGGGGAGCTTCCAGAAGAGACCTTACTTTTCTTCATTATTTAATTAATCATGGAGGGAATGATGGCAGCAATTATAGAGCAGTGGCTGTGTGCAGGCATTGTGTTAAGCACATGCATTCATGTTCATAATCTTACTAAATCTGGATGGCGACTCTTCAAGGTAGGTTCTTTTATTATCCCCACTTCACAGATAAGTAAGCTGAGGCTTAGAGAGCTTAGGTCATTGTTTCAAGTTGCACAGCCAGGCTGGATTTCGAGTTCTGGGGCACCACAAAGTTCTTAGTTGCTATATTCTACTGCTTTCCTTCAGACCTTCAAGTGAGGGTATTTAGATTTCACATAAAACCATGTTTCTCTATTAGCTGCTTAACTCACTGCAAAGCCTCTTGTTAAGATCCCCCAGTTTCACTGGACAAGAGGTCAGTCTAGGGGGTGCAGGGAGGAGAAAGAAGGGAACCCAGGGAATTCAAATTACAACAGGAAAATGGCTTGAAGGAGCTAAACCCATGACTTGGAGCCAAATGGTTTGGCACATGCAGCCATGTTTGGGGATTTGTGATGACAGAGACAGTCTTTTTTCCACTTCAAGCTGCCTTTATAGAACTTTATCTTTTATGTCCAAAGATCAAATAAAAAAATCATATTTAATGAGAACTAGGGGAAATAAACTGGAGGCAATTAAAGAGCAAAAATAACCTCTCTGTGGCTTCAGACCACAGGAGTTTTCTAATTTTAAGAGGCACAGGCAAATCACTTAAACAAGGCCTTCTGGGCTGTGTTCATCTTGTGTTTCCTCCCACACCCGCAGTGGTTAAAATTATAGGCAGCCATACCTCTTGAACCCATGGCATTGTGTAGCAAATGGAAGTACACCCAGGCCAAACACACCTACTCAGAAATGCAACCTTGCAGCCTGGAAGTCAAATCCAAGTCTCCTTTGTAACCAGTTGCTTTGCGTGGAAAGGGGTTAAACAGAGTTAGAAAATGTCATGACGTCCTGATTCCTAATAAGAGTCCTTCCTCCCTTAGTCCTCCAGCCCTGTTTCTACTGTCCTTGGACTCTGGACATGCAGTCTCACAGTTGGCCAAGATCCAAAGAATCCTCGTTTTGCTTCCTTCTTTTCCACGTGCATATTTGATTTGGACTAGACCCTAAGGCATACCTAAACTCTTCCTCAGGTGGAATAACCAGACTCATTCAAACACTCAAAGGCAGCCAAGGGACTTGAGGTTCCATTTAGGGGAACCAGCTCTGCCCTGTACTACTGTGGTTTAGGCCAGAATTTGAGAAGCCATCCTCAATCTTGGAGTCAAGCTAACACCTGGAAAAACCCTGCAGGGTAGCCAGCTTTCCAGTAAACCTGCACACCTATAAAAGCATGGAATTGCCTAGAGGACATCACTCTGAAGTACCTCTTGGAGTTTCCCAATTTGGGACATAAAATGGGGCTGACTCACAGATGAGATCAGCTGCTGAACAGCAAGATGTCTACCCTGGGTTTTGACACTTTGCCCTGCACAGCAAGAGATGTCATATACTATGTTATGTTCCAAGGTCAAGCCTATTCTTGGTCTGCAACCCAAACCCATCCCCCAGAACACTGTGCTTACCGGTAGAAAGTGGCATAGTCCACAGTTGAGTGGCAGGTCTGAAACTCCCAGGATTTGAGCTTCTGGCATTCTCGATGGGCCCGGAGCTTTACCTTCACTGTCCCTTGACACAGCTCAGGCACTGGCTTTCTCTGAGGTCTGTTGCAGAACTCATTGGACTCCACTCTCCAAGACTCAGCAAAGTCATCCACATCAAATTTGAAGTTTCCATCTCCACCAATTAAGTCATCACGTTTATGTCCATTGTAGTTGCCACAAAGACCACAGAGCTTGCCCTTGAGCTGCGGGGCAGCCATGACTTCTACAAAACTGTCTCCATCCCAGGATATTTCCAAGCCTGGAGGAGGAGGAGAGAAAAAGGAAGTCAACCACACATTAATCCATTAATAATTCCCAAATGTATACATCCTTACACAGAACATACGACTGACTATCCTCCAACAAGTAACACCAAGGATCTGTCCAAATTCTTGGTTACCTCTTAATCTCACCATAGTGGATAACATGTGAAATTATGAGAGTCATTTGCTGGTTAGGGCTTAGAATTCTTAAACTATATAAAGTTTGTCCTGAAAACATCCTGTATAGCCTGGTTTGACCTATAGATGACTATCCCTTGACCATCCTACCCTAAGGTTTATTTTTTTCCCTTTTCCTAAAGTAATTGTGTTGGTTCAAATCATGTGTTCATTTATCTAATGACTACTATAATGTGCAAATGAAAAAAAAAAAACAAAGATGATTGTTTTTTAATGCGATTATTTACAGCCAGAAATTCCATCACATAATTATTCCCCCAATGCCCAAGGAAAATTTCCAAATTATTTCCTATAATGATATTATTAAAGCAATCAATATGTAGTTTCTGAATATATATCCCCTTCAAAGGCAAGACTGATATAATGAAAACATTGCTCCTTCATTATTTTACAATCATTCCTGAGGCATGGACACTGTTTGATTAACATTTCCTGGGTTTGAGCTGTTGTGAAACCCTTCCAACCTCTATCCCTCGGGCCTCTGTTTTGGATTTGCTCAAAAGCTTCAACATTTCAGGTGATGTTGGAGGATATCAGGCCACGGACAAGAGTTCTTCTTGTGCATACATCAGCAGGCCAGTACTGCTGGTTCATCCAGGAAACTCTCTTTACTCCAGAATGTAGAGAACTTAGACCTTTCTTGGTTTGCTAAGCTGACTATTTAAAATGTTGAAGGAATTGTCTGAAAGCATGCATATATCTCCAGACATGCTAGTCCAAGACTTCCAGGAGCCACACTGGCCAATGACCCTTCTGAATGGTGGAATTTTTATGTCACAGGTAGAACAGCCAGGTTATGCTGTCACACAGCATAGATACATCTGACTAGAAGGTCAAGAAGAAATGCTTTCATAACTACTCTCACACTGTGTGTGAAGATACCATCCATAAGAGAAAGGAGAGACTTTCCTGAAAAGTCTTCTGAGGTTCAACCCAAAACAAATGACAAACTTTTCTAACGAGAGTTTTTGTTTATGTCTCAAATGTGTGTGTTATTACTGTTCTGGGAATACCCTGGCAGTGCCCGAGACTCCCCAATGAATGGGTGAACTCTGTACGAGTGAATGCAAGTGGCCACCTGTGGCATGGACACCAAGAAACATCTACAGTGGATCAATGTGTATTTCGGCCCTGGGACTTCTCCTTATTCACTGTCTCTGTCTCCAAAGAATGGCGCCCACAGAGGAAGCCTCTTTTTAACAGAATGGTCTCTGCCCCCTTTCCCCCATGTATGTATGTTCTGGTTTTATTTGTTTGTTTGAGGTGGAGTCTTGCTCTGTCACCCAGGCTGGAGTGCAGTGGCACGATCTCGGCTCACTGCAACCTCCACCTTGTGGGTTCAAGCAATTCTCCTGCTTCAGCCTCCAAGGAGCTGGGATTACAGGTGCAAACCACCACACTCAGCTAATTTTTTTGTGTCTTAGTAGAGATGGGGTTTCACCACGTTGCCCAGGCTGGTCTCAAACTCCTGAGCTCAGGCAATCCACCCACCTTGGCTTCCCGCAGTGCTAGGATTACAGGCATGAGCCATTGTGCCCAGTTGTGTGTATTTTTTTTAAATCTTTCCTCTTGTGATCCTGACAAAAACATTTTTCATTTTGCCTGCTTTGAGGTGCTGGAAAGTGCAAAATGACTTTCCTCCTAAAAGGCTTTGGTTTTGTTCCTGAAAGACCAAGATTAAGCTGATGAGCAAATGTTCAGAAGTTGGAAGATGAGGTGGTAATGGGACAGGAGAAACAGTGGGAGGGAGCATGGGAGGGAAGAGAGAGAGGATCTTGTCTAGATATGAAATTGGCATAAGGCAGCAACATCGGGATGATGTGTGGAAGATCAGGAAGAAATACCCAGAGGTAAGACTCTTAAGCCAATATACTCTAAGTTTGGATACAGTCCAAGAGGAGAGAAGGCTGACAGCATTCCTATGATTAGGTCACACAACTGTCACAAGAGTTACTTCAAAGAGAAATACTGGTAGAATAACCTGTGGTCTAAAACTGGACTTCTCAAGAAATAAATGGAAAGACCCCTAAGGAAATCACTCTATGGCCAATGGTAGAAATAGAAGCATGCTTAGACCAAAGAAAATTTAAGAGATTTCTTGACTGAGAGAAGAGTCTGAGTTCAGAAAAGAAATTAAATAGACTTAGATAAAGAAGAAGGAGAGTCATAGGAAAGTCTCTTTGGGAAATACTTTGATAAGGAGAAGACAGTGATGGGACCAGGTATGAGAGAAGGGACATGCTGCTAGAAACCCAAAGACTAGGCTGACCTCCCATGTGGATCTCTGTGAGAAAACTGTCAACTCTGTCAACTACAACTATCAAAGAAAACGAATTCTATTTCTTCATACTCTATCATCTAACACATCATCTAGCACACGGTATGTACTCAGTAAATAAATGAATTACTCTGGTAACCTTGATACACTGAATCTGTGAAGCCAAAGACACTGTAAGTTTCATGCTCATCAAGATACTGAAACAACCATTTTGAAAGAAGACAAGCAAACTATAAGGTGATTTGTAACACACTCTGTCAGGTATTGAAGAAACTTGACCTCACAAGCCTGTAGCCAGGCATCTGCCCAGCAAGAAAAATGAGGGGAGAAAATCAATTCCATACAAAGTTTAACTTTTACAGCATAATTCTGAAGGTTTTCCACATTGCACAATTTTCCAAACTACAAATCTCTTTCCTAGACAGCAGGCAAATACTGTTCTTCTAAGCACCACAAATGGTTGAGAATGTACACCCCAGGGAGTTCCAAAGTCTTTACTACTGACAATGATATACTCAATTTGAGACTTTGGACAACTGAGTTCATGGGAATTCAACTCACAGTGAATGACTGTGTTCTTTCTTTGCAGTGGATTGGTGGTCCATACACTTTGAAAGATGCAGATTGCCGTTTTTCCAGTAAACCCTTCTCAAAACTCGTGATATCTCCTTCATAAAACACGATCCCCAAAGTAAGAGAATAATTTATAATTCCCTCTCCTGTCTTCCTCTTTCTCCATGTTACTACAACATTAAGAAGATTTTTCACAGACTAATGCTAGGCTTCACATTGTGAAGGGATGAATTATTCTACTACAGAAGCCTTTGTCTTGCTATATCATTTACATATGAGTTTGCATGGATATTTTTACACTCTACATGAGCAGAATCCATACAAAGTAGATTACAGTAGTGAAAGGAAAAAAAAACCTTAATAAGTTATCATTGAGGGAATTGTTCTTCCAAATAATATTTTAAATAGGCATCTTATGAGATTTAAACATCATGGAAGGGTTTGAGAGGCTGGGCACAGTCCTTCCTGCAGCTGGGATGAGTTTCTCCATTCTCTGCATGGGAAATTGGGTAGAAATAACTGGCAGAATCAGAAGGCTAAAGCTGAAGCATATGTCTCATCTGGGGATGCAAGCAGCAGCCACATTCCTTCCACTGCAGGAAGGGCCATCCAATTTTCCCTTCTTACCAGTGAATGCTTTACCAACTTGTTCTTCCCCTTTCAAACGTGTGACCTGGCTCCAGACCACTAGCTGGGTTTTTTTGCGGTTGTTGTTTAATATTGTGGATATTGTTGTTTTGCATTGTTTATTTTCTGGTTGTTATTGTTGCTTTTGCTATTGTCCACTGAAAGGAGAGAGGAGGTGCAAAAAGGAGAGAAGAGGTGCAAAATTTGTAGCTATACCATAGCGAGGTTTACACATTGATTAGTTTTTCTATTCAGATTCTACACCAAAGAAAGGGCAAGGTAGTCTACATTCTCTGGGTTCACCAAGCGTAAAGCTCTACCAAAAATAAAGTAAAAAGCCATGTTCCCCATGTGCTAATGCTTTCAGGTACATGTGACTTAATTCTTTCGGGTAAAGTTGATGAAGTGAACAGATGGCAGAAAGGAAATATTTTTAAATTATTTGCTAAGTGTCCAAAGTTGGGGTGGAGGTGTGTGTTGAAAGTGGGCAATGCTCTCTCGAGCTACTAAGCCTTGTCCTACCTCCCTTGTTATATTAGCTAAGCAACTATAGCCTAATTCCACCCAAGCTTCACAGCCACCTGTGCTACCCTGCCAAATGATCCCATCGTAAGTGCGAAGTACATAAACCGAAGGGTGGAAGAGCCATTCCTCCCCAACTCCCATCGTCCAGCTGCAGGCCTGATTTAAGTTGCTATTTTGAAGAAAGTACCCTTTGATCACATGAGCTTATAATTTTTTTTTAAATCTATGGAAGAACACTCAAAGGAAATGCTATAATATTTTAAATAGATAATCCATAGGTGGTAAAAAAGAAAATATCCCTAAAGGGTAGCTCAAACTGAGATGGATAAACCAGGGTGGAAAACACTATTGTCTGGAAATAGAATTGTTTCATTCAGAGAGTAAGTGTAAAGCAAGTTCAATGCCCAGAGGAATAGAAATCTTCTCTAGGAAGCAGAGGGCTTGTGTGATTCGTGTGCTACAGGAAATTGTTCAGCTGGGTATTGAGTGCCATGAAAATGACTTGCATCGTGCAAAGAGAGATGGAAAAAAAAAATTTTAAATGTAAAACTGAGTTCAAGGCATAGAACAGTTAAAGTCACTAATCTAATCATGGCATTTAGGATCTGTTAGTATTCTCTTAGCAGCCTCATTCTTTTGCTCATTTTTATAACCTGGAATCTTTGTAAAGAGTACATTTATTCCATAAGGTTGTGTCAGCTGCGAATGAAACAATATTGAACCTTTTAGGCTGTTAGTAATCTTCCTCTTTCTCCATGTTACTGTAAGATTTACCTCAAGATTTCTTTGAGAACCAGGCTGTGGTTGACTAGTAATTTCCATATCAGTAGAATCTATTGTGTTCAGCTAGCTTGCAAATAGTCAAGGTGCTTTTAATTAGTGCTGTGTAATAATGGGTCATCTTAGGCACACTTTACAGGGAGCCATAAAACGTTGCCTCCTTGAAAGGAATGACTTGGGGCCTACATTTACAGAGTGCCACATCTTTTGGATATAATAGCAGGTGTGTGAATTTTCTAAGCAGGACTAATCCCTCTAAACTTGAATGAATAGACCTCTCACAACAGTGAAATAAAGAATAGAAATCTTTCCCCCTTGATAAAATGTTCCAGTACATTAATACTTAACATTCTGTCACTGAAAACATGTTATACTCTCTAACTAAAAGCTCCTTGTGCTGCTTCTTGGTTTCCCGCCTTTGCTTAGCTAAGCTGGCATTTCATAAGCTCAAATCAACTGATCAAAATACATTTTGGCTTGAATTGAAGCAATTACCAGGGTTCTGAAGGTATGGTAGAAACAGTCTCTATAGTCCCTGAAAAGTGCCTGCTTTATCAGATGTTTCATTGCCTAAAGAAATGGGGACCAAATTGACACTTTCACATTTGTTAAATTCTTATCAATGCAAACAGCAGGAGATAACTGATTTCCTTAAAAGTATCATGCTTTAAAAAAAATAGAGTATGCCAGAGGAAAGCCAGTGCAATGTCCAACTGACAAAAGATATGTATTAACCAAAGGTACCACAGAAGGAACCATACATGATATAACAAAATATGAAAATGAGCTGAAATTATGCTCTGGGGCTGATACTGAAGAACTGAGTTCTGCTTCTAAAATGCCTTTCTTAGGTAACAAATAACAGACAAGAATTTGAGCCTCATAGACCACTGGCAGTCAAAAATAGTTTGGCCCAAGGGGGAATATACCAGCTCTTGGAGTAGAAAGGCAGAGACCAGTGAGTCTACAGCACCGTGGGCTGCTGAGAGAGAGGGGGTCTGGGTGACACAGAACAGCCACGTTGGATATGGCTACTCCTGCATACCAGAGTCTGCAAGAACAAGCCCTTCTGCTGTGGACATTTACGTTTCTTTTGAACATCACTGATACTAAGCCGTTTACTTTTGAGGACTCCACTGCAAAGTCTTGGACAGATGCTAACACAGTAACATTATTTCTCACAGATGTGAAACTGCACATAGCTGGCTGAGCTGGGTGGCACTGACAATTGCAAGCTGGGCATCGATGGCCTAAAAGAGCAACAAAACTTGAGAGAGGGGTTATGTGGAGAGTACAACTGCTACTTTTAGGCAGAGGATGGAAAGGTCCTGGATGTGAGAAGATTGCAAGGCTGATGGGACTGGCATCCAACTGCACGACTCCATATGGTGCAAATGTCTCCAGCTGTTTGTGGCATCTTCAGGATGTGCCTTCCCTGTGAGTGGGGGGTGATGAGGCAAGTCCCACAGTTGGAACTTGGCTCTGCCTTGGGTATTTCCTCGGAGGAAGACCTACATCTCCTGAGCACTCTAACTGAGCAGTGCTGCTGAGATGGTAAGTGAGGCGGAGGTTAGAGCAAGAGGGAGGCCACAGACGCCCCACCTGCTTTGGTGGTCACTTTCAAGAGGTAGCCATCCAGGTCGATGTGGAAGTGCGGCGTGCGGCAGGGGAGCGCGATGCGCGAGCCGTTCCAGCGCACGGTGAGGTGCTGCTGCAGGCTGACCCTGCTCTCGCCCAGCACCAGCTCCACCGACTTGGTCCACGAGAAGGAGCGCGTCCGGCGGGCGTCGTTCTTCACCAGCACCTGGAAGGGCGAGGCAGGGGAGGAGCAGTCTTTTGTCAAAACGTACTGACACGTCCCCTGAAAGTTAAATGTCCGACCGTCAAAAGTGTTGTAGTGGGGATCTCCAAACACCGTGCAAACGCCGGGCTCTGCGGAGGAGTGAGAGACAAAATCCGGGTCACAATCCAAGGCAAGGATTCACAGAGAAATCAGGGGCACCTGCCGGGTAAGGGAGGGCCTTAGCAGAGATGCACTAAGGGAAATCAATTAAAAAAAAAAAAAAGTGGTCGTTTTTAAAGGTTTGTGCCAAACCTCATAGAATACTCATAGAATACTTCTGGTGCTTTTATACTTGAAAGTTATTTAAACACCTCTGAAGTTTCAAAGCATACCTATTTTGTAGCCTTGGTGTGCTTCCATGGTCTAAACGTAAGGAATGAAGAAACTGAACTGAGATAAGAACTGGCCTTACTGCATCATCCACACACACAAGAGCAAAGTCAGTATATAAATAAACAAAGGGCAGCAACATAAATGATAATACCCCAAGACATTAGCATGATTTTCATTTAACTAATTCAAAAAAATTAGACACACTTTATGCTAAATGTTTCCCATGTTCTTAAGGAAAACTGTGATATTCAATACCCATGTATTACCTAGGACAGGTCAATAGAATTGCCAAACAGATACATGTTTAATAGTGTCAGGAAACAAATTACTGATAATATTTACAGATAGTCTTTACATGTTTTCTAGAAATTCCCATATTTTGATCTAAGAACCAAGATCAAAAATGGGATAAAAAATAAGCTACAAAATGTAATTTAATACAGTTAAGAAATTCCAATAGAGTCATCATTCTGAAATATAATTAATTCAAATGCTTATGAGATCAAAGTAAAATTTTACACTTTAGGGCTGCCCAAAGATTTTTATAGAAAAGTAAATATTGTTTCTTTTTTAAAACAAAACTTGGCGTTGGTATGTTCTGCATGTCAATGTATCTTATCTGTTTTCAAAAAGGCATGAAACAACCAGGAAATGAGGAATCCATTTAGAGATATTAGCCCAAATAATTTTTTTTAAAAAATCTGTAATAACAAGCACAATTTCCAGTCAAGACTAGAATAATCACCAGGTCAAGAATAATGGCCAGAATAAAAAGTACCAGGTCAAGAATAAGAAAATGTCATATAAGTAATTGCTCAGAATATCTAAGGGAAGGATTGAGTCAAGACAGAAGAAGGATGTGCCAACTGATCTGATAGGACAAACGGGATCCAACGCAAACATTTGCTTTTAATTTCTAAAGTGTTTGGAGAGTAATGTTGCTTTATGTTATGATATATTATGTCATTTTATATGTTAATTTCATATGATTCCATACAAAGCACATACATTTGGAATTTAATAAATTACTTTCTTGTTCTAAACTAGTGTTCCTTGTCAATATTTAATAAAGACTATAAAAGAAAAAGTTTTGGCATTTATGAGAATTTCAATGAATAAATACTCTAAAGAATATATAAAAGGCACTCCTCGGGGTGGAGGGTGAAAGAAGTAAGTGGGAGAGACACAATTTGAAAGCTCAGTGGTAATACTCGAATTTATCCTCCCTCTCTGTTCCTTTCTTCTTCTTTTCTTGGTTGCTTTTTCTTCTGACCCCAGTTTTATACCATGCGTTGCTTCACATTTTATTCTCTCCCCACCTTCCTGATTCTGTATCTCCTCAACTAGTTTCCACTTATCTAACCTCTTCATATTGCACTTACGAGTCCTTTCTCCATGTGATTACTTCCAAAATCATCCTATCCCACATTTCCCCCACATTCTCTCTCCCTGGCCATGAAAATATCACCTTTTGGTTGACAGAGAACAAGGCAGTTATTTGGGACTCCAAGTGGCATCTGGAGAATGATAGCTCAGAAGTAATACCAACATATGTCACAAAAAGGAATACATAGTAACCTGAACACCAGATGCACCCAATCCAAGAGAAGGACTTTTCCAGGTACCTAACTCCACCTTTTCAGCAAGAGTGCCCAGACCAACCAATATTTTTGAGCTTTTGAGCATGCAACAGATGGACCTCAGCTTGGAAGGCCACGGCACTTCCTAAAATTTTGAAATTACACCCCTGAGGAAGTCCATTCTCAATGGGGGGCAGGCACAGGGAATGCCCATGCCTGATGCCCACACTTTCCTGTGGCAATCTTCTTTCTCCTTGTACCAGGGACAACAATTACATTAAAGTTATCATCAATCAAAGCACTAATAACTAACATTTGCAGAACTCATCACACACCCTAACACTCTTCCACATGCCTGCTTATCATGGATGTATTATCAGAAAGTTGGTATTTAGATTGTCTCCCAGATTAAACAAACAGCTAAGCACTTTGTAGTAGAATCCATAAAATGAACTATGAATGGTCTAGTCACTGAAAAAGTTTGTAAATAATCTTTGTAACTGAGGAAATGCTTATGGCATGTTAAGTGAAAAATCAAAAACAAAACTCTATGTACAAGATAATCTTAACCATGTTAAAATAAATACACAAACCTCCCCCTACCAAAACATACACACCCCAAAATTGAAAACAGTGGTTATTCCTTGGTGGAAGAACCAAAAATGACACGATTTTCTTTCTTATGTTTTTCTGTTTTTGACTTGTTATTTTTTGTTTTGTTTTTAGGAGTCAAACTGTGGGTACTTGTAGATAAGGCCAATTACATGACAAAGCAAGTCCTCATAGAAGCAACAGATCTACTGCCTCAAATGACCCTGGGGAAGCCTGAGATTGCTCATAGCTGGGCAGGAAGCAATGAAGAACATCCAGGGAGACTCTGGGCAAGGGAAATCATGTGTGTACGGGGCTGTCAGGAAAGATATTTTTCAGGAGGCCCTAACTTACAGAACGGAAGGGTTTGGAAATCAGGATGATTTTTCTATGTGACAGCCATATCGAAGAGGCCAAAAAAATATCATGACTGTGAAGATGCCTGAGAATTATGTGTTGTATTTGGGGACATTTGTATCATGAGCTAAAATAATTTTGAAACCTTGGCCCTTTTTCCTGGCACCTCAAGGTTCCTATGCCAGATCCCGTAGGCGCAGTGAACACATGCACTAGAGAATGTCTGCAAGTGAGAATTCTCAGTATTACAAGAATCTGCCTGGCTGCAAAAGGAAAAGGCTCAAGAACAGAGCACTTAGGGGACAAAAATGAACCTAGCATCCTCATATAATTTTTTTCCAATGGACCCAGAGAAATAAGCTTCAGTCCAACATGTCCAGATGTCCGGTCACACTCTTTTGGAAAGCTTGGTGTGATAGGAGCAGGGAGGGAGGCTACAGAAACAGACCATTCTGAAACTAACCTTGTTTGAATATGCATAAGTCAGAGGATGGAGAGAAAGTTACCAGCTTATCACTGGTGGCACATTTTTTCATAGTCTTGTAGGTCAAATCATTAGATCTCATTTTTGTGTTGAGTTATTTTCAACACATGAATACAAATGCACAGGTAAAGGGGGAGAAAAAGATCAGAAGTGTACAAAACCAGATAAGAGTGTGTGTTTTTTCTCTAAGGTAATAGAAGTACGTGTGGCATTTCTTCTTTCTTGTTTATGTGTATTTGCGTTATTATTTACACTTACATTTCATTGTTTACAAAGACTGTATACTTTTGGAGTAGATAGTTGCTTTAAAAGTTTTAAAAATACTGGATTAAGGCATATCACTTTGATGTCCCATACCTTAGTAAGATTGCTATAAGAAATAAGAGAGTCACACTGCCTCTGAAATTATAGCACGATACTGTTCTCCTAACCACATCGGTACATTTATTTATGCCGTGGACATATTTATTCTAATGAAATGCCTTTCTTCTGAGAGCAGTGTCTATTTTCAAAACATCTGTCAAAGAAAATTAAGGGAAAATTATACAATCACGTTATAAAAAAAATAAGAAATTGAGCAAACTCTAACCCTACTCCCCCCAAACACAACAAAACAAAAACATAAAAACATAAGGAAGGGGGGAAAAAGCATCATTCATGCTTCTGCCACCAAGAAACAGCCAGTTTATAATTTTGTGCATGTATTTATTTGAACATAGTTAAGATAATCTTGTACATGAAATTTGATTTTCTATTTTTTACTTTACATGTCATAAGATTCTCCAGTCTTTAAAATGTTTTTCACTTTGAAAGCATAGAATGGAACTTCTATCCTCAGTCCATTACTTTGGCAAAAAGAGCAGTCTCTCCAACTCATCATACTTTGCTACTACATGGATCGCTGCATTTCCAAAAATAATGCTCTAACCTTAAGGAAGCCTAAACCTTTTCAGCTCAAACTTCAGGGAAACAGGCCCCATAGGACTCTGGGGTCCCTGTGTCATGCAGGGAATCCAGTGAACCCCAGAAAAGTAAATGTCGTGATGATGCCAAGCTTGGGTGAAGAAACAAGAAAGGCCGTCTAGGCTCTGCCTGAACAGTGATAGAGGCCTCTGGCAAAAAGAGGCTGTGGTGTGACCCAGAAGGACCCGGACGTCTGCTTTCAGGAGCCCCTTGCCTTGCACAGAATGTCACTGACAGCTGTTGGCCCACAAGAGACATAAGGGTCAACACATGATCCACCAAATGGGACCTGGGTGCCTATAAAATTTAACATTCTTGGCCTCTTAAATGGGAAACAATCTAACACATATGGGAATGGGGGTGGAAAAGAGAGGAGTAGGTCACTTTCTACCAACCTATAATCCACCAGAAATAGTAATCGATCTGTACATTAAAAAACTCATTTGAAGAAATATTGTGTAGGTACATTGTTAACTGTTATGAATTTGCTTTCAGATAGTTTCCATAATTCCACGAGCTCACCAACTTGAAACAAAAGAGCAAACAAAGGAAACAGTTCCTAACTACAAGATCTCATTGAAAACACATCCAAACCCACAGCCAGGGCTACCGTCCAGGCCTCTGCCATGGAGTCCAGTGCTGCCCCCCTCACCTGGGCCCTGCAGTGGCCAGTGCCTGCCCAGCAGTCCCCCACAATTCACAGCACACATATCCTTCAGCTCTCGGCCCAATGCCAGCTTCCCACAGCAACGCCCCTGGTGCCTCAGCCAAAGTCGTCTAT